AAATTTAAATTCTTAAACCAGTTCTGGCGAACTTTAACATCAGAAGGAAAATGAAAAAATGCTTTATTTGAATAACCAACTTGCTGAATATTAGAATAATACTTATTTAAACAATTAGGAGCTGAACAAGAATACTTAACTATACCCGGGCCAGACATTTTTGTTTCAAATATTAGAAAAGGAATTGTTGAAATATGAAATTAGATACCTATATATCGTTAAGGCTAAGAAAACAATGATAAACAAAGTCCTTAAATACTTAATATTAAATTAAAGTTAATACTTACTAATTACATCAAATCAGCACCGTTTGTTTCTTAACCTAAAAATAACTTACCTACCTATGTAACTTACATCATAAAATAAAAATAAGTTTTATTTTATCATATCTCGCCTTCCGCCATCACGTTTTTCATTTTTTACAAGGTTGTCAATCCCGTCTTTTAAAAATCTCAGCAATAGTATGGACATTGTATGGATGGTATGGTGCGCATGTAGATTGATAAAAAATTAAAATAAAATGAATTTGAAATAACTATCATCTCATGAAAGTGTACGGAAACCGGCAACATCGCTTTCATACTATTGCGATGGTGGCGCTAACTAATAGTATGCTGGGAACTACGCCGTGTTGACAGTGGCGGGCATTTAATAAATTCATCTTGTTTTATATTAATTTATCTATGATTTATTTCGTAGGAAAACTAACTGGCATGGCATTTCGAGTTCCCGTACCAAATGTTTCAGTAGTAGACTTAACTGCCCGATTGGGAAAACCAGCACCGTACAATCAAATTAAGGAAAAGATAAAAGAAGCCGCCAAGGGAAGTTTTAAAGGCATTTTAAATTACACCGAAGAGGAAGTAGTATCTACAGATTTTAACGGTGACACACATTCGTCTACATTCGATGCCCTTGCCGGAATTGCTCTAAACGATAAATTTGTAAAACTTATTTCATGGTACGATAATGAATTTGGTTACTCCAATAGGGTGGTTGACTTAATCTTATTTATATCGACTAAGGATGGATTTTAAAATATGGTCTAATATCAATTTGATTCGAATTGTTGTGGTGAAGTATAAAAAATTTGTCGTTGGTATTTTTTTATATAATAAAGAAATTCCCCAGTCTTAAAATGTGGTAAATTATTGTGTTTATACATTTATTATAATCCCAGCAAGTGTCAAAATTATCTACTTACGAAACCTGTTGCATAATGTTGAACATTGCATACGCTATTTTTTCTACGATCAAGAAACTGTTTCAATTCAACAACATTGCTTTATTTTTTTAATACTTTTTTATACAAACAATAATAAATTAAGTATGAAAGAAAAATAAGTTCTTCGACTTAATTTTTATTCCTTAACAATAACCAATATAATTATGATACATTTTTCGCCTTTTCAGCGATTTCAGGTGGTGTGCATGAAAACTCTTCGCCGCTCAACATTTTTTTTTTTTTTTAAATAAGTGAGAGGTACCTATCTACCTTTTTGACTAACGCAGAAGATTGAAACTGTCATAAAACACGATTCTCTTAGAAACTGTCAAACATTTTACAGAAAATATTGGGTCTGCCTTCTTGGCTATTTAAAAATCTAGATTTCTGTTGGTCAATTTTTCAGTTTTATAATGAAAGCCAGTGTTATAATGAGTATCATTATTTTCTTATATTTAGGGTCGGTCTTTTCACCTTCTGATAAAGTTCCAGTTAACTAACTAACAGATATATTATCCGAGAATTCCTATCTGACAGATTATTAAGTTTCCGTCTTTTCGAGGCAAATAATCTACAGGGTAGTTATTTGGTACTTTTTAACGTTCTGGGGCCCAATTCCTGACGCCTTCGTTAACTTATCGCAGTGCTCCGCAACCTTTCCTCATCTGAGGCACACTAAACTGCTCCCTAGAATTTCGTGGCACACCAAAATCTAAAATATATTTATAGCAGTGGCGTAGCTAGGTCGGGGGTCAGTTCACTCCATGTATACTAATTATTTATGGATGTCCAAACTACCTTAGTTTTTTTATTGTTTTAAAATGTGATTCGTATTGTCTTCAAGAGCGGCACACCTCAAGTCGGCTTACGGCACACCAGTGTGCCGCGGCACACCGGTTGCGGAGCACTGACTTATCGCATGCGATAACGTATGCGACTTGATGAAAGTGTATTCCTGAGCTGGCGGCATTCGTCAAATTTATTAACGCATGCGCTAAGAAATGATGATTTTCAAAGAGCGCTCATGACCGTTCGACAACCACTGTCGCATTCGTTTAGGTGAAAGTAAGGTTATAATTGTCTATTAATCGTGCTTTATCATACGTGATTCTGATTCGTGTTTCTGTGTATTGGTTTTGGTTTTGTGATTTATTTATTTTTAATTTGACTTTTTTAAACAGTTTATTAGTTATTAGAATATAAAAATTAAACTTTTTGTACCGTGAACTCTTTTATTGGACGCTTAAGTGCCAGTTTATTTTGGTATATTTTATTTAGTATGGACGATATAGAAGAAATAGGAGTTTTACAGGCACTAAACAATGTTATAGAGGCTGAAGTAGAAATGGAACTACCACCTCGAATATATCATATTAGGGATGATCCATTTCAGTTAGCAGATCGTCAATTTATAAGAATTTTTAGATTGAACAAGGAATTGGCACAATTTCTAATAGATCTGGTTTCACCCTATATGCAAACTCCAGAAAGATCATCTGCTTTAAATCCAAAAGTGAAGGTTTGTTTGTGATCATTTAATATAAATATAACAATTGAATACATAATTTGTAATAACCTATATATTGTTAAATTGTAGGTCTTAATAGCACTTAAATTTTTTGCTTCTGGAAGTTACCAATTAGATCTTGGTGCAAATATATCTTTAGCTGTGAGTCAGTCTTCAGTTAGCAGGAGTATTAATGAAGTAACCAGTATTTTAAATCAGCCTGAAATTTTTAATACATGGGTTAAATTTCCAATGAATGTAGAGAATTTAAATACCATTCGCAATGGGTAAGTTAGTATATAAATGATTATCTTATAAACACATCAGGCGAAGTATAGGTATTCTCTTTATAAAATATTATTTTAGTTTTTTCAATATGGCTGGATTTCCGGGCATTGTAGGTGCAATTGATTGTACACATGTTGCACTAGTTCCTCCTAAAACCCAGGATCCAATTTATCCTGAACATATGTATGTGAATAGGAAAGGATATCACTCTATAAATGTACAATTGGTAAAATACTTACATACTTTTTTTGCTTTTTCTAATATCTAGATCTTGATTTGTAGGTTTGTGATTCCAAAATGAAAATTTTAAACGTTAATGCCAGGTATCCTGGAAGTACAAATGATCAGTATATTTGGAATAATTCCAATGTGAAAGAAGCTATGGAGAATTTACATCGCATTGGTCACACAGAATATCACTTATTGGGTAATTAGAACTTTTAATTGTATACTTAATTTTTTTTAGTTCAAATAAGTTGAGTGTAATCCAATATATTTTCAGGCGATTCTGGATATACCTTAAGGCCATGGCTATTAACGCCAACAGAAATTGAACCTCCGCCAAATACCAACGCACATAGATATAATGTATGCCATAGATCCACCAGAAGTATAGTAGAAAGGTGTAACGGACTACTAAAAATGAGGTTCCGATGCTTGCTAAAGCATCGTGTTTTGCATTATTCACCACAAGTCTCATCAAATATAATAAATGCTTGTGTAGTGTTGCACAATATGTGTTTGCAACATAATATGCCCAATCCAGAGGATGAATTTAATGACTTTGGCATTGAACATAATTTTGTTATAAATGAGGAGGATCAAGACCAAGAACTCAATAGGAGAGCCAGAGTAAATCCAGAATTAGTAGCTGGCAGAAGAAAACAAAATCAAATCATTAATGGCCATTTTAGAGCTTAACAGAATTATAAGATTGCTTGTAAATGTAAATAAAAGCATTTTTCTAAAAGACATATCTATATTACCAAATAAATAAACATTAAAGAAATCAAATAAAAAAATTGATGTCCTAAAGTTATTATAGGCTTTTTCCTGTTATTCTGTACAACCTATTGTATGCTACCCCCCTGTAAATGTTTAGAGGATGAACCCAATACATACATTTCCCACAAACATTTTACTCGATACATTTTTTTACATATTTTCATTGCCAACAAAAATACTGAAAAATTAAAATTTTACACTTTTCCTCGAATTTATCCAGTATGGTCTATTTTAGAGAAGTCATATAGAACAAAAATTATGGTAAATATCGAGATCATTTTCAAATTATTAATGAGTTTAAAAAAAAATCTGAAATAATGTAGACACTCAAAAATATTTATCAGGCAGGTATTTTAAGATTTTTCTGATATAAAGTAATAAAACAACAGTTTACAAATAGAATTTTTATATCTATATTAACAAACAAAATAAAATAATCTTCTAGATAAACAAACAAATAAAACCAATAAAAAACTTAAAATAATCTAGATAAACAAACAAAACCAATAAAAAACTTAAAATAATCTAGATAAACAAACAAAACCAATAAAAAACTTAAAATAAAAAAATAGCTATAAGCACTAGACAATACTAAACAGGGCAGTTATTTTTTAAGTATGCCTATTAATGTTGCACCAATATTTTCTAATATCCTATTCTGTTGTTTGCTAACTTTTATTTTTTGTAGAGTCAAATTATTTTTTTCTTCGATGTTATCATTTTCCCTCTTTTTTAAATCATTATTTTCCTTCATTAATTTTAGTTTTTCTAAATAATAATTCTGTAAAATGTCATTCCTATCTTTTGACGTGTTAGTCAAGTCATTTGTAGCCTTGACTGACTTATCAAGTTGCTGTCGGCGAGTTGGTGGTGTTATCTTAACTGCAAAAATATAATAGCCATTAAATAATAATTCACATATAGTCAAGGCGAGGTTAAAAATTACATTTTTAATGAAAAAATGCTATTTTAAGCCTCGCCAATTTCTGAATGACTAGCAGTGTTAATCAGTATAATCAGTTTGTTTCAAGTAGTTTGTAGACTATAATTATAATTAGTGATTTTTAATTTCAATTTGTCAACTGTAAAGTTTGTTTTATAAAATAAATCTTGCCTTTAGGGAGAGGTGGCTGATTTTCAATTTCCACGATAGGGTTTTCAAGTTCTGTGTAGGAGTTCTCCATATTTTCAACATATGAATGATCCATGAATTGGAATTGTTTATATTCATTCCCTTCTACTTCTTGTTCTTCTTCCACTTGCTGCATTTCATCTTCAAAATCCTAAGCAAATAAGTAAAATTTTTATATTTAACTAAGCCTTTTTAAAATCTCATTTATAAACTAGTAAAAAGTGTGATAAAGCAATATCATAACAGGATAAAAAATAATCCACATGTTCAAAATATAGGTATAAAATACAGGTACAGAAATTTAAAACCTTACAATGAATTAACTAAGATATAATAGGAATAAGCAAATAAAGTACAGAAATTATACGACTTCTGTCTCTGATTTGTAACAGTATAGGCATATTATACTTATATTGGATTTAATGTTTCTTGAGTAAAATGTTTTAAATAGACTTACAAACTCAATAACTGATTCCGAGGCAGATGGATGACCTAAACTAGATGTGGGACATATGACATTCATTACATTTTCTTCCCATTTTGACAATATGTCTTTTATGGCCGCTCCACCACCAGTTCCCCTCTGGTAAGATTTGATTTTGGCATTCTTTGTTTTTACCTTTGATTTTATATCATGCCATGACTGAAATGCAAAAAATACTCATTACTAGATAATTATATTGCAAGCTATTATTTTAAATATTATAGGGCTTATAATGATTTTTAAAAACAATTATATTTAAATATGTTCGAATTGAATTTAATAATAATAATAATAATAATAAACAAGAGATTCTTACTTTTCGCCATTGTCGCCAATCTTTTTTGGAACCTGGCATTGAATTTAATTCCAATTCCAACGATTTCCATAATTTTTGAGCAACTAATGCTGTGAATGTCCTAGTAAATTTTCCACTCACCAACTCTGGATGCCTACACATAAACTCTACTAAAGTTTCACGCTGTTTTTCCGTTATTCGTGAACCACGCTGTTCCATTTTTAATATTTTAAATCTAAACCACTCCAATTCTCAACTACAAAATACAAATAATCTCTCGTAAAACTTAAAACATCCAAAAACCAAAAATTATTAGACATTTGCAATCAATTTAAATTTTGCATTTTCGGCAATTATCTCATATTCAGTGATACCATCTTTGGTATTCTCAATCCTCATTGGTTAAGACTATGCAATAATCAAAGACTCTTCGTTAACACGTTCGACTTGATTCGCGATTATCGCATGGTGTTCAGGAATACTAAATTGCTGTCGTATGCGTTAACTATCATGCGTTACTTAGCGCATGCGGCAGTTAACGCATGTTTCGAGAATTGGGCCCCTGTGGTCATGTAACTATCTTCATATCAATATATTAAGCGTGCGATATGTCACTTTCTTTGTCACTTGTTGTCGTTATTTCGTTTTGTCTCTTATTTGAAAGAAGTTTATGTATGTTCCTGAAAGTATTTATTATTTAAAATTACATAAAGCAAGTGATGCAGATGAGCTGGTCATTCTGCAAACAGGGAATTTTGTGAACATACTTTGCGAAAGAATGTAAGTAGCCCTAAAATTATAGAACAGTGATGCAAGGACCATTCACTGTCTATCAATCCTAAGAAGACAGAAATGGTCCTTTTCACAAGGGAAAGGATTAAAGTGGAATTAAAACCTCCAGAACTCCTAAACACAAAACTATACTTTGCAACAGAGGTGAGGTACCTAGGTCTCACCTTTGACAGCAAGGTAACATGGAACTCGCATTTAGAAAACAGAGTTAAAAGAGCATACATTGCTTATGAACAATGCCGCCGAACCGTGGGGTGCACCTGGCGTTTCTCCCCAAGAGTCGTCGCATGGACTTACACGGCTATCATAAGACCTATGCTAACATATGGTGCAGTTGTCTGGGTACCGAAAACCTAAAAATTAACAGCTATCCGTAAACTAGAACGACTTCAAAGAACAGCATGTCTCAGCACAACAGGAGTCATGAAAACAACACCGACCAGAGCCATGGATGTAATTCTTAGTTTCACTCCCCTTGATATTTACATTAAGGAGGTTGCTCTGACGACAATGACACGCCTCCGCACGGTTGGAATATAATCTGGTGAGGCGAGGCGTCGCTTTTGGTAGGAGGCGCTCGATACGCTCCCACTGCTTCAACCAAACATGGACTCCATCTCACCGAGATATATTTTCCATAAGCCATATAAAGTTATAATTGAACAAATAGAAGAGCCATAAGTGGCAGGTACGATTCATATCTACACCGACGGTTCTAAAACAAAACAAGTCTCAGGATGTGGAATATACTCCAGATTCTTAAACCTAAATATAAAATGGGCTGTGAGCAAAAGTGCCAGTGTAGTTCAAACAGAGCTAACGGGGATTCTCATAGCAACAAAAGAAATAACCAGAAATAATATAACTGGAAGGAACATGCTCATATATACAGATAGCAGACAAGCACTACTCACCCTGAACAGATCAAGAATTTACTCAGGGTTAGTACTAGAATGTCACGAAGCTTTGGACGAAGTATCCATCAACAATGTGGTCACCTTAAGATGGATCAAAGGTCACGCCACATCGAAAGGTAACCGTCTTGCTGATTTACTAGCCAAATACTTTTTGGACCTGGCCCTTCTATTGGCCTGACAAAATCGGTAGTGACAGACCTAATTAAAGAACATTCCCTTGTGAAATTCAAGGCAAGATGGGATGAAACAAGAAACTGTACAGTTGCCAGGGAGCTCCTAAGTTATCCTGACAACACTGCAGCAAACAAATACTTGACTATGACTAGACAGAATCTGCGCTTAGTCACAGGCATTCAAACTGGTCATTGCCAAGTACGGAAGCATCTCCATATCATAAGGTTGTCAGAATCCGCACTTTGCAGAGGGTGCGAACAAAAAGATGATACCATCGAGCATATCCTTTACGATTGCTCGACGCTCTAATTTATTACAAGATTTGTGTTCGGTGAGTATCGGCTAACACCTGCCGATATAAGAGAAGCACCTCTGCTTGGCGACGTTGTCAACTACATTAAATCTGTATGCTGGCTCACAAGCTAGGAGGTGCCTGTCATCTCAGGAGGATGCACAATGGACCTAATGAGGCTTAAGTGCCGTGGGGGTAACCCACCCTTCACACGTTACAGATACAGATACAACAAGTGAAAAAAAGAAAATATCGACCAACTTTAAATGACCAAAAGTGAGATTATTAAAGGTATGCTTGAAACACAAAGCAGTACTGCAGAATAAAATAAAAAACTGATTCTTGGGTCTGTTGTATTGTAATTGACATATATTATTTAATTGATTAAATTTAGTTTTTTATTATATCCGCTTATTTTTTCACAAGTACAGTAGGGCCTATAATAAACAGTCCCCATAATAATTGTCAACGACTATCTGATCTCAAATTTTCAGACACATATGACCAAAGAAGCAATCTTCAAAAATACATCACAAACCATCAATGAATTAGAGATCTTTTTAACCTTCAAGGAGGAGGTCTACCTGTAAAATACAAAATGAACTAACCGTTCAAATATATTTTCAAAAATGATCCAAATATGGAATAGAACCAGAAACAGTAAAACTTATAAAAAACCAGATATTAAAAAATCGATTTGACTTTTTATTAAAAAGATACTTCTAAAACATATATCATATTGACAAATATAATCAAAGGAATCAAGTTAACAAAAACATATACTGAATGTTACAAAATAAAAATATGATTCAGTTTTAACATTCTCCCACCATGAGTCTTGATCTTGGTAAAGAAGACTCAATAGCCATATCTGTCGACCTTCTTAATTTCGCGCCCACACCTAGTAGTCTTCACGGGTTTTCTCGGAGTGGGTGCCGCTGACAACTCATCATCCGACAATTCTTCATTTCCTTGTTTCGGTAAATCGGTGTTATTATCCAAAATGTCATATACTTCTTTCAAGTATTCAGATTCGTCATCGGCAAAAACTTCTAATGGATAGAGTCTTTGAACAGGTCTACTAAGAATTCCTTTCGATGTCTTCACTGTTACCATACGTACTTTTCCATCCTTTCCAATAACAACCTCTTGAATAATACCCAAAGGCCAATCTATTTTTTTAGATTTTTCACTTTCAATTAAAACAACTTCACCTTTGGTTATTGATCTTGTCCCTAACTTTTTATTAGAAAATACTAATTGCCCTAAGTATTCATTCCTAAATCTTTTCCTAATACACTCAACTAAATGTTGCTTACGTTTTAAATGTTTTTGCAGAGAAACTGATTCAGCTTTATCTAAATCAGGAACTTGATTCTCTGCAATATCTTGAATGAACATTGCAGGTGTTAATGGTAACAAATCTTTATTGCTGCTGTAAGTATAAGTTAACGGTCTAGAATTCATAATAGCTTCACAATCGCAAATAACAGTTGATATCAGTCTTTCCCAAAACCCACCCCACCATGCAGCAGCTGGCGGGTTAAATCTCCACTCTATCTTTTCAACAGAAGAATACTGATGAATATTATCCCAATCTAAAGAATTTAAAATATTTTCACATCCTACAAAATTAGTACCGTTGTCGGAGTATATTATGGAAGGACGGCCTCGCCTTGCTATAAACCTCCTCAAACAATTCAAAAAACTTTCTGTTGAACAACTTAAAACAACCTCTAAATGAACAGCTCTATAAACACTACATGTAAAAAGACACACCCAAACCTTATCACCATTCTTCAAAAATAAAGGTTCAGTCAGGTCAACTCCAACAATTTCAAATGCCCTTGCATTTTTCACTCTATCTCTAGGTAAAACAACAGAAGGGGTATCAAATTTTTTAGAATCAAATCTACGACAAACGGTACACTTCAATAAAATTCTCCTAATAGTTTTCCTACCCTTAACAATCCAAAAATGTTCCCTTAAAATACTTAATAATGTTTGCACACCAGCATGACCATTATTACAATGAATTTGATATACCATTCTTTGAACTACTGGGTGCTGACTGGGTAACAAAATAGGAGTCAAAAAATGTACTGAATCGTCCCTTTGAAGAATCCTAATACTATCGGAATCTAAAAAAGGATGCAAACATACAATATCCCTATCGTCCACACCTTTAAAACTTTCTTTCTGAATACATTTTATGATAAATTTTTCAGCTTCGTCCCTCTCTTGCTTTAATAAATACCCTTCCTGCCTTCTCTTATTCTTGTTTAAACAATTATACATAAACCTCCTTATCCAGCCTAAAAGATTCACGATCTGTGAATACTTAGAAAAATATCTGAAAAATACTGAATAATCAACTTCAGCATTTAATAATGAAGAAAGGGTGTTCCTTTTTTCCTTAGATACTAATTCTTCCTCAACTACGTATTTCTGCAGAGGCCACTTGGAAACATTCAATAACCAACTCGGTCCCTCCCACCAAGAAGATTGTAAAAGCTTTTTAGGAGAACAACCTCTCGAAACAAGATCGGCAGGATTCAAACTCCCTCCAACATGATACCAATCTTCCTTTCTGGTGAGAGTACGTATTTCTTTTACCCTATTCCAAACAAATGGTTTCCACATATCTTCTCTACCAATCCAGGATAGAACAGTAGTTGAATCGGTCCAACAATAAACATCAACTTTTCCAAAAGGCAAATTTTTTAAAACAAAACTCAGCAACCTCGAACCAAGAGTAACCGCTAACAACTCCAGCCTACAAATACTCAATTTTTTGATAGGACAAACACGATTCTTTGCCGCAACCAACTCTACAACGACTCCACTAGCTGACTCTGTCCTTAAAAACACTACTGATCCATAAGCCTGCTGACTCGCATCACAAAATAAATGAAAACTCTGATGAATTAAACCAGAAACCGGATTTTTTAAAACCCATCTGGGAATTTCTAAAAAAGCCAAAATACTTAAATCTCCAACCCAGTCTAAGAATTCCTTCTTAATGTTATCAGGTACCTCAACATCCCAGCCTATTTTCTGAACCCAAGTTTTCTGTAAAAGAATTCGAGGAACAAGTTGAACAGGGCACGAAAAACCAATAGGGTCAAATAAACGGTGAGCTATTGATAAAATTAATCTTTTCGTAACCACATCCAACTTAATATCCTGAAACCATTCCATATTTAACATTAATGTATCCCTATGACGATTCCAATTTAAACCTAAAACAGGTGAAACTACATTTCCTAAAACCTGATCACCAAGGACAGTATGCTCCCAACAACGAAGTTCAAATTTTGCAAGGTCCATTACCTGGGTAGCCTGAGACATAAAACATTTCAATTGTTC